AGGACGTTTATCACTATCCAAATGTTACACATTCTGTTGCCAACTTTCCTATATCTTCAAGAATCTTTATATTGCTTGCTTGTGTTATTTCTGCATCAAATATTTCCGTTGACACCACTTTTCCTTTGACAAAGGCTTTACTGAAAGTTTCAATCAAGCTATTTCCCCCAGCTTTTACCCTCTTTCTGGTGATTAGTTCCAAGAGAACTATCCCAAAACTATAGACATCACTCTTTCAGGTAATCCGCCCAGTGTGAAGATATATAGGATCCATGTAATCCATACTTTTACAGTATTTGTACATCGAGTAATGCCTCCAGAGAGATGCCTTGACAGTCCAAAATTAGATACTTTTGCTGTAAGACTATCATTTAGAAGTATGTTTGCTGGCTTAATATCACCATGATATACAAGGCTGTCAAGATCAACTGATAAGTGCATCGAATGCATGTAGCTCAATGCTTCTGCGCACCCGATAGCAATGCCCAATCTTGTATCCAAAGAGATGGAAATATCACTCTTGTGAAGTGCATCTTCAAGGTTCCCATTGGAGATAAACTCAGTTACCAACATTAGGGTGTTTTCCCCTGTACTATAACCTATGAACTTCACTACATTCTTATGGTTGATTTTACTATGAATGCTTACTTCTTCCATGAACTCCTTTCTCAAATCGGTATGGATATATCTCTTCACCGCAACTACATCACGGTCATAATCATCAATGAATCCTTTAAAGACTTCTCCGAACCCGCCTTTTCCAATGGGAATGCTATAGTTGCCCGTAATTCTCTCAATATCATGTTTTGTAAAACTCCTAATATTACTATTATCATCCCATTGACTATGATCTCCTGTCATAATCGTGTCTTCAGGAAGTTCCATTTTATGCCAACAATAAAATTCCCACTTTTTGAAACTGTTGATGACCTCACTCTGCAAAAGAAAAATAAATGCCCTCTATGAGGCATTATACAGTTTAGTTTGGTCACACTTTTATATATACAGCTTATTTTATTTTGCTATAAATTATCACATTCTCTTGTTTCTCTTGAAAACAATGGAATTGATAGTGCATTTGCCTGCCCTACTTTTTAGAAATTAGAGGGGGTGAAACATGGTCTTTTTTTTTCTCCTAATTAAACGCATAGTTACACATCATCAGCAGTCAACAAACACCATATCTATCTATTATATTATTGAAACAAGATGAAAACGAACCTTCATCTACACTCTTGATGACTACTCCCTCCGTCCCACAAAAAATCAACCTAGGTGGGGATGGGACAAGTTGTTTTTTTTTTTGGGATGGAGGGAGTACAAACTTACAACATCAAATAGAAAAAAAAAGGAATCCAGATCATAGTTATTGTTCTAATAAAGCATATAGTTCATGTACATCAAATACGATTCATACTGAACGAAACCCGGAGTTAAAATTATGCTCCCTTTGTTTCATAATATATACCTGGGAACTTTGACGCTGTTTTAGTTTGACCACTCCTATTTTATAAATAAACTTATATGTATTAAAAAAATATACCATATTATTGAAGTATGCTACACGGAATATAAACATATAGATCTCATCATTCATCACAATCGAATGATCTAGAAAATATCTGTGATCAGACTATAACAATTGCCAAATACTCCCTCCTTATTTTAATATATGACGCCGTTGACTTTTTAATCAACATTTGACCACTCGTCTTATTCAAAATTTTTATGCAAATATAAAAATACTTATGTCATGCTTAAAGAACATTTGATGATAAATCAAGTCACAATAAAATAAATTATAATTACATAAATTTTTTAAATAAGACGAAAGGTCAAACATTTGTTAAAAAGTCAACAGCGTCATACATTAAAATATGGAGGGAGTAGTAAGAAGCGGAGGGAGTAAAAAGAAGAATTCATGCCAAAACGCTTGAATGGTCTGGAAAGAGAGGAACTCCGGGTGTATTTCGGGCTTCTACATGCACGCTAGCTCAATTTGCTTGTGCAAAAGATTAATGGTGTGGAGAATGGCCGGTCTGGCCTTGCTAGTGTTTCCTGTACTAGCCAAGAGCCGTACGTTGGCAACATCATCTCACAATTCTCCCGTAATAACTATCTAAGGAAAGAAATGTAGAAGATACATTGTAGCATTTCACAAATAGATATCATTTTCCAACTCAATTGATATAAGAGAGAAGTGTAACGGGAACATAACATATAACGGTGCTCTATGTAGGATCGAATCATTGATCTTACACTCTACTTCTACATACATACCCTGGAACTCCGCGACAGATACACGCCCTCCACCAACAACAGCTGAGATACCGAATAGCAACTCTTCTGGCAGATGCTCTCAGTTGTATAGTAACTCTTCCTGCAGGCTCCTGTAAAGGCTAAATATGTGCTCCAGTTGTGAGAATATCAAGCTTGGACAGCCTTTGCAGGTGAATGCATGGTTATATATTACTTCACCAAAACAGGATATGGACACATGCACATTAGTTAAGTTACATCCCCCCATCTATAATATTGTATTGCATGAGTATGTTATAAATTTAAACAATTTGGTAAAAGAAAATATGCCCAGAATCATTATCAAGAAAATAGAAGTTGCAGTGTTAATTTAAGGAAATGAAAGAAAAATACTCTTCATTGTGTAGTCTAACCAGGTTATAATTGCACAAGACTCCAAATGAAAATTAGTTATAAATAACCGATATTCAAATAGAAATATTTTAAAAGTAAGAGCACGCATATGCGATCTAGACATAGCTAAACTCAGAATAAAAATAGAACAAAGTAAAAGCATTGCAGTCGAGTTGCATTATAGTGCTAAGAAAAGAGTTGACCTCATTTACAAGTTGTAAGGCATGTGGATTTTTTATTTTTTTTAAAAAAAAACAAGTTGTAAGGCATGGTAACATGGGCTGTGAAATATGCAAGGTCAATGGCTACCCCCAATGGGGCAGATCCAGGGGTAGTTCCCAGTATGTACTGGCATACCCAAAAACTAAAAAGGAAAAAGGTTCAAACATCACCTACAGATTAGTAGCCTCAATTATGAAAAGGATTTTCATGTTTATAAAACTCAGTTATCATGTTCTGCACACCAAGGAACTTTTTTCTGCTCCACCACTGCGTTCAATAGATCATCAGCCAGATGAGCCCTCACCAGCTCACCACTGCGTCTATCCCACCCATCGCCTGTGATTGGCGTCAGCTGGTTGGCCTCCTCGTATCAAGTTCACTGTCATTTCGGGGTTTGAAGTGCAGCTTGGCCTCTCGATTGGGTAGCTCAAGCTCCTCTAGCTAGATAGTTCATGGGAAAGGTTGGGACGAAATCGATTCCAATGGGCAACTGCAGATGTAAACACATATACTGATATATAGACATATTAGATTGGTCGCTAATTTCAATTCTATCTATATTCAGGATCATGAATAATGCCAGATCTGATCACATCTTGTTGCACGAAATCAATGTAAAGACAAGAGGAACAAAGGATCAAGATTTACTAGTGAGCTCGAATCGAAGGGGCCAGCCACTCGCGCCCTCGGCGGCGGCGGCGGTGGGGAGGGCGCCGAGCCGCTGATTCCGGGAAGGATGGCGATCTGGTCCAGTCTCCACGGAGCTGTAGAACCGTGCGGCCCACTTAGACCCATCCAAATTTGGATCGCCACGATTTTTTCTTTTTGGAATACGTCTATTTTATATCCCTCAACTCGTTGAATCACATCCCTATAAACCACAAAACCAGGTATAACACCTCCCCTAACTTTAAAAATCAGAGCAAATGGATTCCCTCAGTGGTTTTGAAAACGGTTCTTCTGATGTGACAAGTTGACTTGGTCTAAATCTACTGATGTGGCAGCCTAGTCATCATCAAATAAGTTGAAAATAGAAATGAGTCCCACTCCCACAAGTAAGTTGAAAAAAAGGTAGGGCCCACTAGTCAATCCCCTTCTCCTTCTCATCCTCCCTTCCTTGTCTCTCTCTCTCTCGCGCGTGCAGGCAAGGGCAGGTGGCGCAGAGCGGTAGAACGACAGCAGACCACCCATGCATGGCCGCCGGCGGTTCCTCCCCCCTGCTTACGGTCACGGGTGACGACCTCCTCCCAATGCTTGTGCCGCGGCCAAAGACCCCTCCTCCGCCTACGGCTGCGACCGGCTACCCCTCTCCCCAAGTGCGCCGATGCCGGCGAGCTCCTCCCCACGATCGCGCGCGCCCGGAGACCCCTCCCCCCACGTGTAGCCGTGGCCGGCGACCCCTTCCCCCTCGCGCAGCACTGCTGGTGAGATCCTCCCCTCCCCTAAGTGCGGCCACGGCCGGCGACACCTCCACCCGCGCATCATTGAGGCTGGCAACCTCCTCCCCGCGTTCACACCGCTACCGGCTACCAATTCCCTCGCGTGTGTTGCTATCGGCGACCTCCTCCCCGCGCCGACACCACCGCCGACCTCCTCCCCCCGGTTGGCAATGCCTTCCCCCGTGGCGTCCGGATGGCGACTCCTCCCACGTGCTACTGAGAGAGGAGGAAAGAGAGATAGAGCGAGAGAAGAGGAAGAAGATAGGATGGAGCAGGTCGCTGATAGGTGTGGCCCACTGTAACATACTTAAATTTTTATGGAAAAATTTTTGCGAAAAGTTTTAGTTATGTTCTTCTCGATCTTTCCATTGGAGCAACCTTGCTTGCTTAGTTATGGAAATATGCCCCACTCTCCCTTGGGTTAAGTATTAACTATTAATAGAAACATCGATTTAACTCATATTTTTTTAAAAAAACTTATATAGATGGTTTTTTGAGAAAAAAAACTCACACCGCGTAGAAGTTTGAAAAGCATATGTTGTGATAAGCCGGGTGACTGATAAGCTGGCCCAATAAGCCGGGTGAACTACACTTCACTACTGCATGTAGGTAAACCCCAGCACAAGAGGACATCTCCTTAGCTCTCCAATTCTGTCAATAGACACATCAACAGACATATACAACAACGGGTGTGTTTTCCTTTTTAGTCATATAGAATCCATATCAAGCTAACTAATGTTCTCATGACAACAATGCAACATGCAACACAACCAACAACAGAATAAAAATACATGCAAAAGAGTGTTTTGATGTAAAAAAAACGACAATGTCTATCGTGAAGTGAGAATGACTACAAGGGATTATGAATCTTCGACCTCTGAATGAGGTAGCGCATCGATCATCAGGTAGGTCCAGCTTCAGTCAACAAATTGTGAGCGACGAGACAATGCCATTGTGCATTCAGGTTGAATCAACATTCTGTAACCCTCATGGCCGTTACACCACCTTCTGATCTTCTTCAAGCGTTCTGCCACCTCCTTCATCGTCGGCCGTTTGCTCAATTTCAAATTGATGCAATGGAGTGCCAACTTTCCGATCTCTTCAAGGACAGGGATATTTTCTTCAGTTGCAATCCTCTCATCAAACATAGCTTTTCCACTTTTGTTCATCTTGTATGCTCTGGCGAATTCAGAGACTAGTCCATATTTCTCCGGACAATCTCCAGCTGGTTGCTTCCTTGTAATGAGTTCCAAAAGAACAACGCCAAAGCTGTAAACATCGCTTTTGAGTAGCACGAGATTAGTGTGCCTATAGTACGGGTCCATGTAGTTTCCATCGCCTTTAACCATAGACATTCTAGTTGCATTATCCTCGGTAAACCTTGTTGACAATGTAAAGGCTGTGACCTTTGGCACAAAACCATCGTCCAGAAGTATGTTGGATGGCATGACATCACCATGCCGGAGGGCGATACGCGACGAATGGAGGTGTTCTAATACTCGTGAAGTCTTACTTGCAATCTTCAGGCGTAGCTCTAGTGGGAAATCTTCTTTACAATGCAGAATGTCTGAGAGGTTTCTGGCAGCATACTCATATACTAGAGTTGGAGGATTGGCCTCCAAACAAATCCCCAGAAGTTTGGTGATGTTCTTATGGACAACCGGAGACATGATGACCATTGCCACTCTGCTACGGAACTCCTCTTTTCCAGCCTCATATCTATCAAAATATTTCTTCACTGCAACCAAAGTATTGTCCTCAAGTGTTCCTTTGTAGATGTTATAAGATGAACCTGTAGCAAGATGACTCGAGTAGTTCTCTGTGACTTTCTTCAGTTCCCCTTCCCTGAAAATCCGGGCATTGCCGAGTTTGTTACTTGAGCTGGAGCTAATGATTTCTGGTGGTGATCTCCTGTATAATCGCCTGATTATGTTCTCCTCCTTTCCATGCTGAGCTGCCCAAAGCATCAGAAGACGTTTCTCCACATCATTAGCATTAGGACGTTTATTAGCGTCTATTGCAACGCATTCGACTGCCAACTTACCTATCCCTTCAAGAATCTTCATATTGCATTCATTTGCTATTTCTGTATCCAACAGTCCCCTGAATCCTTTTCCATTTGCATAAGCTTGATTGAAAGCGGCAATTAAGTTAATGCCCCCTTTTTCTTTTACTCTTTTTTGAGATATAAGTTCCAACAGAACAACTCCGAAACTATAGATATCACTCTTTCGAGTAACACGCCCTGCCGAAAGATATATAGGATCCATGTAATCTATACTCCCTTTAACATTTTCAGTATATCGAGTGATGCCTCCAGAAAGAGACTTCGAGAGCCCAAAATCTGCAACTTTTGCTATAAGAGTGCCATCTAGAAGAATATTTGTAGGTTTGATATCACCATGACATATAAGGTTGCCACTTGATAAATGCATTGAATGCATGTAACTCAATGCTTCTACACACCCTATAGCAATGCCAAAGCGTGTACCCAAAGGGATGGAGATGCCACTGTTGTGAAGGGCATATTCAAGGTTCCCATTCGAGATAAACTCAGTTACCATCATTAGAGATTTTTTTCCTATACAATAGCCTATAACCTTCACTATGTTCTTATGGGTAACTTGAGCATGGATTCTTACCTCTTCCATAAACTCATCTCTTAAATCTCCACGTATATATCTCTTTACTGCAACCATGTCATCTTCATCGTCAAGGACCCCTCTAAAGATTTCTCCAAATCCACCTTTTCCAATGAGAGTACTATAGTTGTTTGTAATTCTTTCAATATCACCTTCTGTGAAAATCCTAATATTAGGATTGTCATGGACCGTACGCATTGTCATCCCTTGCCTTTGGATGAGATTATTCTCCCCTAACAATATATATTGAGATTCGAAGAAATTGTTGACACCTGCTTGAACATAAATAATGATATCAATTTATTAATGCCCTTTGTGAGGGAGTAACACAGTTTAATCCTCCAATCTTTGAATAAAGAGGATGAGTTCTCTTTAGTCGGCAGTGGATATAGGAGGAAAAGTATATCTTTGTGTTAATTAGTATATATATGCGGTAAATTAATACAAATATTTCTACCTCTAACTAGGGCCGGCCAGAGGGAAGGTGAGCACCAAAAAAACAAACAAAGACGGGGGATTTTCCATTGAAGCCATTCAAATGCAATCAAATTGAAAACAAGAAACATCCCGTAGAGATCCTCCCATCTAGGGATGGATAACAAGCCAACTCGGCTTGTTTGAGCTAGCGTGCAGCTTGGTTTGTTAACATTAACGAGCTAGAAGGCTAGCTTGGCTCGACCCACTAGCTAGCTCATTAACGAGCTATATCTCATTTATATCATATTAACAATTTCAAAATTTATCACTTTATCATACATTAACATAATAATAAGCACTAACTAATAAAGAACTCTCTAAATACGAATACGAATAGTTATAATGTAACTAACAGATTAAGCGCCAGTGAAAAAGCACTAAATATACAAAGAAATGGTCGGTAGTACAAAAATTGTTTTTGCAGACGGGCTAGCCACACGCACGCACGCACAAAATGGTCTGCAAATGGTCTACGAATACAAATAGTTTTAATGTAACAAACAGATTAAGCGCTAGTGAAAAAGCACTAAATATACAAAGAAATGGTCGCTAGTACAAAAATTGATTTTGCAGAAGGGCTAGCCGCACGCACTAAATGGTCTGCAAAAATCGCTATTTCACGTGCGGGTGCTTATGTCATCTGCACGCAAAAATAAAAGTCCAAAAAAATAAAAAACCAAAAATCACGAAACCCTAACCCTAGAAGTCGTCGCCGCCGTCCTCGTCGTCGCTGTCGTTGCCATCCTCATCCTCCTTGTTGTCGTCAGGCGTAGGGGCGGCGGGATCCGCACGGGAGAGGAAAGGGACGCTGGGTCCGCCCCTCACATCGTTGATGCCGCTTGTCATCATTGCCGCCGCCGACTGCTTGGAGGTAGATCCACTGCCACCAAGCCTCCCCACCGCCGGATCTGTGGCCGCCAAGCGTCCCCACCGCTAGATTTGCCGCTGCCAAGCCTCCCCACCGCCGCGCCGCGCCTCCCGCCCACCACTGCCGGATCCTTCTCCCCTAGCACCACCGCCGCCGGATCTGCCCCTCTCGAGGCCAGCCAGCTGCGGATCCGCGAGGGAGGCGGAGAGGCCCCTCCACCGTCATCGTCGCGGACCTCCTCCGCCCCCACCGTCGCGCCTCCGACCGCCACTGCCGCTGTCGTTGCGCCTCCGAGAGAGAGAGAGAGAGGGCTGAGAGAGAGGAGAGAAGTGGGAGATCGAAGGAGAGTGAGGGAGAGAGAAGAAAGGAGAGGAGAGGGAGTGGGGGTGATAGATTTTTAAGGTGGAGGGAGGCCGGCTGGACTTTTTGCAGGCGTGCCTCTTAACAGGCCCGCATGTGAAAATAATCATATTTTCGCATGCGGACATGTTAAGAGGCCCGCCTTCAAAAATCAATTTTTGCATACGGGTCTCTTAAAGAGTCGTATGCAAAAATATTGGTTGATTTTTCTGACGCGACAAGTTATGGTCTGTCTGCAAACTAAATAGGATCTCGTCCAGAAAAATCATTTTGGTACTAACGAGCTAAACAACCAGCTCGTGAACGACAAGGTTAGCTTAGATTAACACTACAAATTTGAGCCGATCCGAGCCACGAGCTTGGAGCTTTTTTTTCCACCCCTACTCCCATCACATGAACACCAATATACCGTCTTAAAAACCAAAATCTTAAGAAAAAAACCTGAACAGACCACCTGAATAATAATAAAAAAAAGAACATGACATGACGATGCGCTACATACAGCCATACCGGTAGCCTGTAGGCGATGGTCGCCGGCCGGCACCCACCAACCGACTTCAGGACACGCCGCTGCCGCCGACGATGTACGGCCGGCCGCCGGTCGCCGGGATTCCCGATCGAGCGCCGCGTTTTAATCTGTAGCTATATATCCCTGTACACTCGCGGAGGAATGGAGTAGTGGAGGAATAGTAGAGCGAGGCATCGCATGGACGACGACTCAGCCAGCGCTGGATACATATGGATCGATGCTGCAGTCTCGAATGCAATATGATGAAGAAGACAACTAGTAAACAGTAATCATAAACAGTGGAGATGTGTGGACTGCGGAAGCCGCCGCGATGACTCCCACCCCACATACTCGCTGCCGACACGTGACGAAGAAGAAGAGCGATGGCGGATGGCGAGAGATGTGAGCGACGAGAAGGATTGCGATTGGACTACCCCAGTCTACCAAGCACTGATGACATTTTTTTTTCCTTGAGAGGGTATAAGGTAGGACGCACACGAACACATACCACACACTCACCATAACACACGCTAGGATTGAAATTGGAGACACTAGACCTCAGTGCACGGGAAACGTGCAGTACCACTGATCACGCACGCGTGTGTACCCCATTATCTAACCGGGACCAACTGAAGTTAGTCCCGGGAAAGAGGGGGAAAAACCCCCCGGGTGAAGCCGTGAGCAGACAATGTGCAGGGCTTTAATTTTGCGTTCACGAGGTTGGGGCTATGAATTATACTCCCTATGTTTTTTAATATATGACGTTATTGACTTTTTAGTTACATTTGAACATTCGTCTTGTTAAAAAAATGTAATTATCATTTATTTCATTGTGACTTGATTTATCGTCAAATGTTCTTTTAAGCATGACTTAATTTTTTTTATATTTGCTCAGAATTTTTGATTTATAAGATGAAAAGTCCAACGTTTGTTAAAAAGTCAAGGCGGCATATATTAAAAAATAGAGGTAGTACGAAACAACATGGAAGTATGCCCCATTCGCCCTAGGGTTAAGCATTAACTATTAATAGAAACATCGATTTAACTCATATTTTTTTAAAAAAAAACTTATATAGATGGTTTTTTGAGGAAAAAAACTCACACCGCGTAAGAGTTTGAAAAGCATATGTTGTGATAAGCCCGGTGATTGATAAGCTGGCCCAATAAGCCAAATTGAATACAGAACTACACTTCACTGTACTGCATGTAGGTAATTAAACTCCAATTGTGCCAATAGACACATCAACAGACACATACAACAACGGTGTGTTTTCCTTTTTAGTCATATAGAATCCATATCAAGCTAACTAATATTCTCATGACAACAATGCAACATGCAACACAACCAACAACAGAATAAAAATACATGTAAAAGAGTGTTCTGATGGAGAAAACGACAATGTCTATCGTGAAGTGAGAGTGACTACAAGGGATTATGAATCTTCGACCTCTGAATGAGGTAGCGCATTGATCAGGTATGTCCAGCTTCAGTCAACAAATTGTGACCACCGAGACAATATAATGCCATTGTGCATTCAGGTTGAATCAACATTTTGTAACCCTCCTGGCCGTTACACCACCTTCTGATCTTCTTCAAGCGTTCTGCCACCTCCAGTGGTGGAGAAACCATCTTTGGTCGGTCTGGCAAATTCCACAATAGTCCCGGTTCCAAAAACCAGGACTAAAGATTGTTTTTAGTCCCGGTTATAAAAATTTTGATCTTAAGTCCCGGTTGATGTTACCAACCGGGACTAAAGATGATCTTAAGACCCGGTTCGTGGCCTGTCAGAGACATGTTAGGGGGCCGAGGATCTTTAGTCCCGGTTGGTGTTACCAACCGGGAGTAATCTTTGCTCCCGATTGGTGTTATCAACCGGGACTAAAGAGATCTTTAGTCCCGGTTAAAAACTCTAACCGGGAGTAAATATTTCTCTCCCACATCTAATCGGTTAAGTCCCAAACCAACTTCCTCCTCATTAGATTCTCCTCCTATCTCTCAGATCAGATCTAGCTCCTTCCTCTCCCCTTCCTCCTCCTCCCCCCTCCTCCCCTTCCTCATCCTCCCCTCTCCTCCTCACATCCGAGGGCCGGCGTCGGTGGGCGGCGGGGCCGCACACGGCACGGCGGCGTGCGTCAGTGGCAGCCTGCGGGGCAGCGCGCGGCGGTCGTGACAAGCAGTGGCAGGCGTGTGGCAGCGCGCCGGTTCTCCCTTTTTTATATAATTTGTGATTTGAGAGATGTATAATTTCTTCTATTACAATTTGTGATTCATTGCATGGATCTGAGATGTATAATCGATCTGTGATGCATTTCATTTGTGTGTAATTTGTTTAAGATTTGTGATGTTTTGTAAAATTTAGGATTTGTATTTGTGATGTGAATGATTTGGGATGTTACATTGATTTGGGGATTTGGTATTTGATTTGGCCGGGTATATACATCCAACTCGATTTGGGAGAAAATAAAAAGAAAATGGACTGCCCGAGGACTGCCCTATCGTACCAACCGGGACTAAAGAGGATCGATATTTACTCCCGGTTATTTCATCCGGAACTAAAGATAGCGATCTTTAGTCCCGGACTACAGGGGGGTTACGAACCGAACTAAAAAGCAATTCTCCACCAGTACTCCTTCATCGATGGTCGTTTGCTCAATTTCAAACTGATGCAATGGAGTGACAACTCTCCGATCTCTTCAAGGACAGGGATATTTTCTTCAGTTGCAATCCCCTCATCAAACATCCATTTTCCACTTTTGTTCATGTTGTATGCTCTGGCGAATTCGGAGACTAGTCCATATTTCTCCGGACAATCTCCAACTGGTTGCTTCCTTGTAATGAGTTCCAAAAGAGCAACGCCAAAGCGGTGAACATCGCTTTTTGAGTAGCAATTAGTGTGCCTACATTACGGGTCGATGTAGTTTCTATCGCCTTTAACCATAGATATTCTAGTTGCATTATCCTCAGTAAACCTTGTTGATAATTAATGTAAAGGCTGTGACCTTTGTCATAAAACCATCGTCCAGAAGTATGTTGGATGGAATGACATGATCACCATGCTGAAGAGCGATACGCGACGAATGGAGGTGTTCTAATGCTCGTGAAGTCTTACTTGCAATCTTCAAGCGTCTCTAGTGGGAAATCTTCTTTACAACGCAGAATATCGGAGTGGTTTCTGGCAGCATACTCAGATTATCCATTGTTGTGCTTTGTGCGGAATCCTGTCAATGCAACACGCTCGGCTGTGAATCACCTGCAAAGGGATGAGAGTGACTTTCGGGAATAGGTTCATTTTGCTTCCTTATACTCCCTACGTCCCTAAATATTTTGCCGTTGACTTTCTTAAATATGTTTGACTGTTCGTCTTATTAAAAAAAATTAAGTAATTATTAGTTTTTTCCTATTATTTGATTTATTGTTAAATATGTATTTATGTATACATATAGTTTTACATATTTTACAAAAGTTTTTAATAAAACGAACAGTCAAATATGTTTAAAAAAAGTTAACGTCGTCTAAATATATTTAGGGACGGAGGGATATATGTTTTGAGATGTTGAACTTTTGTGTGCGCGTGTGTTGTTGACTCGTGTAATGACACGATCTAAGTACTCGTTTGTATTTTGTGGGATGGGCACAGCCATGTGGGATAAAGGGCTTGTTCGGCTGCAATACTTGCTGCAGCTGTGCTGCTGCAGCTGCTGCCTTAGCAAATGAGATTATATGTGCAATACTGTTACGGTTGGCTGTATTGCAGCCATATTTAGGCCTACCGAAAAGGCCCTGTAGAAAAATAAAGGAACAATCGTGTTCTTGTCCTTGCTCTACAGTTTAATTATGATTTTACCCTTGATTTTTAGGGTTTACGATTTTGCCCATATTTTTTAAATGAAGTAGCCATCTGCCCTTACTCTGTTAACTCATGGTAACGGTATTAAATGTGTGGTGAATGGACAAATATGCCCCTGCTATTGAGATCAACGACATGGTGGCTGCGGCAGTGTGGCGGCGGCGCACGAGCGAGCGCAAGTGGCACGCCGATTGGGCGAGGTGAGGAGCAGAAGACGCCCGGGCTACTCTAGGCGGGCCGGTACACCGAGCATCATCAGCGTCGATCGGGCGCGGCTTCGCGAAGCAGCCCAGCACGGAAAGCAGCAGGCGACGGTGCCAGCCGGTGAAGCTTCAGCTTCAGCTCCGGCGGCAGCGCGTGAGCAGGTGGGGGCGGAGCCCGTGACCCCGGCAGGATCGGAGCAGTTCCAACGGCAGTGCGTGAGCTCGCGGCGTCGGCTTCCCTGGCAGCAGCACGCGATCGAGCAAGCGATGATTTGGGCGGCGAGCATCTCGTCCATGGGCAGCTAGCAACTTTTTCTCTCTTGTTTCTCCTTTTCCTTTTCCATATATATATATATATATATATATATATATATATATATATATATATATATATATATCCTCTTTTTCTTCTTCCCCATCTTTGCAAGGAATTCATTTGGTGATCAAATATTTTCCTGATGAATGTGATGAATTCCCTGCTCGCTGCTCGCTGGCCGACGGAGCCGCTGATCCTCTTCGCCGCGCGCGAGGATGCTGCTCCTCTCTGCCGCAGACCGCCAGCCGCCTCAATTTGGGGAAATCGTTCCCAACAAGTGGTTGGCCCTTTCAGTAAACCAAGGGTAGGATAGTCATTCATAAATTATAATATTATTTTCTTTCTTCGTTTAATTGGGAAATTCTAGGCCTACCAAACTACCGTCAAAACAGGGACAAACGGCTGTTTCATTTCAAAAAAGCAGGGGCAAAATCACAAACCCTACACAATTGAACTTTGAAGTAAGGGCAAAAACACAATTGCCCCAAAAATAAATGAATATAAGATTGTTGTTTTTAAACAGTTGCCATCTAGTACTCCCTCCGATGGACGAAAAAAATGTTGGTTTTACTTAAAGAAAATCAGAATGAATATAAGATGTGTCACACGTATTTAAAACTTTGTGTTGTGAGAATATATTTCCATGTCCCAAAGGCAGGGACTGCGATTACCATGTCTCCATGTTCAAGGCCAGCTAATGGGTTGGACTGAAATGGGTGGGTTAATGGATTGGTTTCATATCTGGATGGCCTTTGGATGGATGGAAACGAACTATTGGGCTGGGCTGGTTTGGGTGGAGGTAAAAAGGTTTGGATCGGTTTGGTTTTTGGTTATAGATTTTTGGATCCAAATTGGATTTAGTGGAAACCTGAAAACTACTATTGAATTGAAATATATATGTCTGGGATTTACCTACATCATAACGAGTAAAAATTTTACTCACAGATTTATTCATGGTGACTCGTACGAATTTAGAACATTCATTTTTCGATCCAACAATAGTTTTCAGCTTTTCACTACATATGCATTTTCCACCACATATTTTCATACCCAACCCATGGGCCATCTTCCGTCGCTGCCCCAGCTGGGCTCTGGCCAGGGTCATCACCAAGGATATGTCGCCATCGACGGGAGGATTCAGTTAGGGTAGGCATGAAGTTCAGTTCATATTTTCCCTGAATCTTGTTTTTATTGAGAGACAGAGGATTTGGTCATATAGCTGAAATTACTTGTGTTGAACATGTACAATTGTTTATTTTAAATACCATCGCAGCCATGTAATCAAGCAATGCTTGTGAGGCTGGATACATTGGTCGCTAAAAATCAGAGTGCGTTTGTTAAGAAGCGTTGTATCCAGGTCAACTTCATGCTTGTGAGGCAATCGGCTAAACGCTTGCACGACAGGAAGGTTCCATCGGTGCTGCTCAAGCTTGATATTGCCCAAGCATTTGATTCCATCTCTTGGCAATTCATCCTAGAAGTGTTGGAGCACAAAGGCTACGGCTGCCGGTGGCGTTCATGGATTGCCATGCTTTTTCGAACAGCTAGCTCCCATGTTCTGATCAATGGCGAGCCGGGCTGTCCAATTTTGCATCGGTAGGGAGTACGCCAGGGAGACCCAATTTGATGACATCTTTTGGTCGGGCCACCATGGTAAACGTTGTGTTGAGCTCAATTCCTATTTACCTGCTTATGGCCATCAACGCACCGATATGGGTGATCAAAGGGATTGACAAAATTCGCCACGGCTTTCTTTGGGCCGGCAAAGCAATTGCGAACGGCGGAGTCTGTCGGGTTGCTTGGGCCCGAGTTTGTGCTCCCAAGGAGTATGGTGGACTGGGGATTCCAGACTTGGAAAGAATGGGAATTGCACTGCGGTCCTGCTAGCTATGGCAGCAGAGAACATCGCCAGACAAGCCATGGCAAGGGCTTAATATCCCAATCTCACAGAAGGAACGCAACCGGTCTCGGTTTCCACTGTGTGCATGGTGAGCGATGGGAATTCGGCGCTGTTCACCATTGAAGACTCAACTCTTCTATTTCATCTTCAACGAATGCTTGAGATAAACATATGGATGCAGTTTTCTAATGAATAGTGAACCAAAGTTTTTTCATCTTCAAAACCAAATTGTAACGGTAAGATACTGAAATTCTATTTGGCCAAAATGGGCTGACAATCATTGAGGATATCAACACTTTTTTTATTAAAAGATTTACATGTATCATTGTTATGAGACGAGCGTGATTTGGGCCGAGAGATCACAGCCTGTCCTCTGACTCAGCTAGGAGCATGGGAAATGACGGAAATACCCTTCCAAGTCAATGGAGTAAATGAACTCCATATCTCTCACCCCGCTCGCTCGCACTCTAAAAAAAAAAACTGCTGGTCTTCCTACCCACTCGAAAAAAAAAAGATAACTCCGGATAAAAAGCAGTTGGTTAAAAAAATTCGTGCATTAGGTGAGATCCACACTATATATGCCCATTTACAGTGATATGGACCCGTTTCAATGCATGAGCAGATAACTAGTATGGATAAAACCAGAATAATGACAGCGTTAGACGTAATGTCTCTGCAATCATATCATAGATACATACAGACTGATGTTGTTGCCATGACAACATACAATGTGACATCACAGCACAACCAACAATAGGAATTGGCAACTACTACCAAGCACAACACAAACAATCAAGAAGATATGCCCCATACAGGTCAAATCCACCAGATAAATGAATTAGCTACTACCAAGCACGCATAATAGTGCAATACAAATGTGTGAACGAATATCAAACCGGCCGCCACATCTTCATCTCTTCTCTTCTTCTTCTTCTTCTTCATAGATGCCAACAGCCTGTGCATCCATGCCCCTGTGGTGCATGCTGTTTCCAAGCCCTTCGGATCATCCCAAGTTGTTCAGCCACATCCTTCATTGTCGGCCTTATTTCCATGCTAAGGCACCTCAGTGCCAACCTCCCGATGTTTTCAAGAACCACGATATCTTTTTTGGCTGTAATTCCTTTATCAAACATTGCATTCCCACTACCTTCTGTTTTATAAGCTTTGATGAATTCAGGGATGAGGCGAACCGGGCAGTGTTTCTTGTCCTGGTATAAAAGTTTCTTCCTGCTAATGAGTTCTAGCAAAATAATACCAAAACCGTAGACATCGCTTTCAGTTGTCAGGACATCAGACTGTAGAAATTTTGGGTCGATGTAGCTCGGATCATCCCTTATTATTTTTTTTGGCATAAGATCACAGTACTTTTCAACGTTATCAAAAGACAAATTGCCCTTGGTAAGCCTTCTTGATGATGTAAAACCTGAGATTTTTGGCATTAGGTTTTTGTCTAAGAGTATGTTGGTCGACCTGACATCACCGTGTCTCACACAGAATGGTGACGAGTGAAGGTGATCTAATGCTTCTGCAGTCTTTACCGTGATCTTCAGGCGTAACCCTAGTGGGATATCTTGTGCACTATTCAGAATGTCGTATAGACTCCCTCGATCAACATACTCATATACTAGCATGGGAAAATCAGCATCAAAGCAATACCCCAAAAGTTTTATGATGCCCTCGTGAACGATCTGGGACACAATGGATGCTTCATAAAAAATCATGAAGACATCCTCATCTGAAAGGTGACTTTTCACTACCACCAACATATTGTCCTCTAGTGTTCCTTTATTGTACCTACCAATGCCAGACCCTTTGTCACCAAGAGGAGATTTGTAACGCCCCATGACTTCAAATAGATTCTCCTTTGTGAAACTTCTAAAATTGTGTTGTTTAGCCATCTCAGATTTTATTTCCGAAATGGCATTCCGCCTATGGTTGGCCGTAGGAGTAGAGCTGAAAATGCTTGTGCTTTGCTTGTACCCTTTCCTTAATGCGTTCAGCATTCGTGAGGAAGAAGATTTCCGAGCTGCACTTTCCTGCCCCTCCCTATGAGTTTGAAGGGTCCGAAGGCGTTGAGCCACATCATTAATTTTAGGGCGTTCTTCAATGTCCAATGTCAGACATTCAATTGCCAATTTTGCTATTTCTTCAAGAACATTCATATTGCACTCCTCTACTATTTCTGCATCGAACAGTTCCCTCAGCCCTTTTCCGTTTGCACAAGCTTGACCAAAGGATATAATTAAGTTAACGCCGTCCTGTTTTACTCTTTTTCGAGCTATGAGTTCCAAAAGAACTATCCCAAAGCTATAAACATCACTCTTTGGGGTAAGACGGCCATCTCTGACATATAAAGGGTCCACGTAATCTTCACACCCCATAATATGTAAAGTATATCGAGTGAGGCCTCCAGAAAGAGATTTTGAGATGCCAAAATCGGAAACTTTGGCAGTAAGATTGGCATCTAGAAGAATGTTTCCAGGCTTAATATCACCATGATATACAAGGCTGTCACTTGATAAATGCATGTAGCTCAATGCTTCTGCACACCCTACAGCAATGCCCAAGCGTGTATTCAAAGGGATGGAAATTTCCCTGTTGCAAAGTACATCTTCAAGGCTACCATTCAAGATAAACTCAGTTACCATCATTAGAGTGTTTTCTCCAATACAATAGCCTATAAGTTTCACTATATTCTTATGGCTCATTTGGGCATGGATTCTAACCTCTTCCATGAACTCTTCTCTTAAATCCCCACGGATATATCTCTTTACCGCAACTTGACCATCATCATCATCAAGGTCACCGCTAAAGACTTCTCCAAATCCACCTTTTCCAATGAGAGTTCTATAGTTTTTTGTAATTCTTTTTATTTCATCTTCTGTGAATATCCGAACATTATTATTATCGTGGACTTTCCTCATTGTCTTGCTTTGCCCTTGGATAATATCCATGCTATAAGTTTATTCTCTAGAAGTTCAAAAAATGCGCCAACAATATTATATGCCCCGATTCAAAGAAAATGTTGACACCTGTCTCTACAAAAATAATAGTAATATAAATTTGTTGATGACCGTTGTAAGGCACCATATAGTTTAAGTAATTTACTCCAATCTTTTAATAAAGAGAATGTGACATCCACACATTTAACACTGAAGTTAGCAGTGCTAGCTAGTAGATTATCATTTGACAAATACTCCCTCCGTTTTTAAAAATAAAACTGTTGGCTTTCAAACATGACATTTAACTATTTATTTTATTCAAAATTTTAGTATAATATGCAGAAAAAAATATAAGTTATCTTTAAGATAAAGCAAGGCACAACAAAATACAAGAAATTGTTTTTTGAACAAGACAAATGGTTAAACCGTCATGTCTAAAAGTTAATGTCATCATATATTAAAAATTAGAGGAAGTACTTGTTTATCAAATAACAGCCTTCGTTGGAGATTGCAGCAGAGAAACAGCTAGAAACTACCTTTAATTCATACTTAAAAGTCTTAAGGACACATCTTTACATCGTCTTTTACTTGCAAGTCTTAAGTACTTAGCAAGTGAACAATACAAAATATGATGCATGACTATTAAGCTAATAATGTATATTCTTCACCTTATATCTTACACCACCATCATTCGTGATCAAGTCAAGTCTATTATATAAAATGATTTTTTTGGAAAATGGAATAATAAATCTAATTTACACTTAAAACATTAAATAGAGTTATAATAACTTTTCTTTAAGAGACAAGAATCACAATTTAGTTTAGTATTGTGCATGCTTGTACCAATTTACCCTAGTTACTTTGAATTTAATGTCATTTGCATTCCATGTGATTAGGCTTCTCAAAGTATATATGATATTTTCCCTCATTTCCATTTACTACACTCCACTTAGGCCTAGAAACCCTTCACACCACCACGCTAATATATGCACTTGGAACACACTTTATTAGCATTCGATGGGTTCTATATCATCGCCCATCCTAGGCCTAAATTACCCATGTAGAGTGTAATAAAATTAAGAGTAAATTACAGATTGGGCCATATATCTTTAACAAAGTTTCATTTTGGACCACCATTCAATGTTTCACTTTGAACTGGGTATAGTGTGTGCTTTTTTTCCGAATAGTTCAATGATTTTTTTTATAATTACAAGGATAAAAATAAATCAATTAGACATTATAAAGTTAAAAGATATATTTAAATAGATTTTCAAGGAATTTATGTGTAGAATGTTATTTTTTTTCAAAAAACACACAGTTAGCTCGGTCGGGAAGCAAATATCTTTATGCCCAGTTCCTATTCCTTGGGGAAGAAAAAGCCTATTATCCATCTTTTTCTTTCGTGAACACGCAAAAATCTTACACGTTAAAAAGTATATATATATTAGATAAGTAGTATATATCGCCATCGGTAATACCTCGAGATGGTTACGGAGACAAGAGGGGTATAGTGTGTCACGCAATCGCTAGCTAAACTCAATGCGCCTCTCCTGTCTCTAAAGTCTAAACTCTAGTCTGACGGTCATCGGGTCGTCATGCACAAACGACGGTGCATCTAAGAGCAAGTTTAATAGTATAGCCAACTGCTAGCTCCAAATCATCCATAATCAATTTAATACCCAATTTATACAATAGTTACCTATAAATATATAGTGCACTATTAATATCTAGTCCCACCTGTCATACGCACATTGCGTCTTAGAGTCCGTGCCGCAACTGGCTATAAATCTGTAGCCCGCTGCTCATCTTTCTTTTCTTTCATCTCCTCGATATGTGTTTATAGTTAGTTTAGTAGTTTGCTATTGCACCTGCTCTAAGGGTCTGTTTGGTTTCACTTTAGTCCCCTTTAGTCTCTAAAGTCCCAAACAGGGGTGAGTAAAAGGGACTAAAAGTGCATTAGTCCATTAGTCCCTATGGGAGGAGTTTATAGGAACTAAAGTTGCTTCTTTCCACCTGCTGCCCTCACGCACAACCCTCTCTTTTTATGGTTTTAGGGGTAATATGGTCTTTTTATGGTTTTAGGGGTAATATGGTCCTTGTATAGTGCAATTAAAGACATTTAGTCCCTTTTAGTCTCTACATCCAAACAAGTATGGACTAAAGTTTTTAGTCCTAAGACTAAGGGGTATTTAGATGGGGCTAAAACTTTTTAGTTCATGTCACATCGGATGTTTAGGCACTAATTTGTAGTACTAAACATAGACTAATAAAAAAACTAATTTCATAAATGAGAACTAATCCGCTAGATGAATTATTTTAAGCCTAATTAATCTATAATTAGCAAATGTTTACCGTAGCATCACATAGGCTAATTATAGATTAATTAGGCTCAATAGATTCATCTCGCTTATTAGTTTAAGGTTATGCAATGGGTTTTGTAATTAATCTATATTTAATACTCTAAATTAGTGTCCAAACATTTGATGTGGCAGGGACTAAATTTTAGTCCTTAGTTTCCAAACACCCATTGATTTTAGTCATACGACTTAAGAATCCAAACACCACCTAAGCGATACAGACGGCAGATATCGAATTAATTAATGTTAACATGGATCGATATATCGGTTCTCTAAACGTACCTGGAACGACGACGTACGACGAGAGATCGACGACGTGCGTGCGTTGCTCGAACCGGCAGATCTCATGAAGTTGCACTTGGTAATCGGATCAGAATTAGTGGCGGATATATATGCACACACACTGCAAGTGCGCATGCAGCATCACACCATCGCAACGACTTGCCCGGCCCACGCGCTGCAGTCAACCGATATATCGCGTGAGCAGCAGCGAGCCATTCAACGACATTTTTGTGCTAGCCGCACGTATATATGGCATGCACATGGATTCGATGATATGCTCGCCCCTTTGCTGTCAAAGTCCGAGGGAAAAACTCTGACGCTATGGACCGAGGGACTAGAAAAAACTTTTTGGGCGTAGTCATGCTGAGTAAGCATGAAAGAGTAAGCGCGAGCTGACCGTGATCAGTACCGGTACTATATCTTCCGTCGCTTTCTCGAATAGGACCATATATAGAAGGAAAAAAAATTATCAGGGACAGATTATAGCAGGTACAATAGCAGGCTATAAGCCAGCTGCAAACATATATTTTAAGAAGATAAATAAGAAGAATGAAAAGTAGCGGGTTACAGATTTGTAGCCAACTGTAGCACAGACTTAAAGACGCAATGTGTTTATGACAGGTGGGACCATGTATTAATAGTATAGTATGTAACTATTGTATGGATGAGCTATTAGATTGGCTATAGCTCAATTGGAACTAGTAGATGGCTATACTATTGAACTTGCTGCTATAACTGAATTGGAACTAGTAGTTGGCTATACTATTGAACTTGCAAGCAATAGTTACATACTACACTATTAATACATGGTCTCACCTATCATACACACTGCGTCTTGGAGTTCGTGCTACAGCTGGCTACAAATTTGTAACCCGCTGCTCTTCTCTCTCCTTATTTATCTCCTTAAAATATGTTTACAGTTGGCTTATAGCCTACTATTGTACCCGCTCTTAGGATTATGCAGTGAAGGACAAAGAGACGGGTTAGGATTGCATGTAAAACGAGAAAGCTATTAACACATGATTAGTTAAGTTTTAAAATTGAAAAATAGATTTATCTATCTTAAAACAATTTCTATATAAAAAGCTTTCACACGAAATGTACCTTTTTGTAAAATCAAAGGTGCTTTTGATTATTATTCTGTGATAAACAATGGGCATTAGAGATTATTGGTTTTGATATTTGGAATTTATTTGCGAGGTGGTTTTGGAGATGATTGGATTTCACAGGTGATATACAGGTACTGCTGGATTGGGTTCGGTCAGACCGGGCAGTGGTTGCCGGTCTGACCGGCCGACTCTGTGTCAGTTTCGGTTTTGGGTTGTTTGTTTGGATATCCGTGATTGTTTCATGAATATGACTTCTAGATAGATACTATGCGTATGTAATACTGTTGTTTGCTACTAATGAGTCAAGTTGAGGATAGCTTGGTCTCGGAATATGTTTTCTTTGTTGGTTCCTGTAACGCCGCGCTTTTCACGAGACGTTAAAAACTAATTCGGGAAAATCCTAATTGCAAAAAATTTCGTTCTTTGAGTGAGAGTCTAAGTCGTGCCATGGATCTCAATTCAAATCCCGTTGTCCCCTCTCATCGACAACAAAATCATCCTCCTCAAAATTCCTCTTCCAATTCAAGCCTCCAAATCAAATTCTGAAATTCAAATCCTCTATTGAAAACCTCGCCAAATATTCGCCCATTTCCAAACTCCTTTTTCCTCCAAATCAGCCTTCTGCAGAAGTCTATTTATCCTCCTTCTAATTTTGGATGGGCTGGATCCCCGTCCCCTCGGCCCATCTCCTCTCTCAGCCGTTCCTCCCCTCCCCTCTCTCCGCACGTGCGTTGCGCGTGCGCCGCGCTCGAGAGAGAGAGAGCGCGTCAAAGCTCCCCTACCGGCGCCGATTCCCGCCGCCGCCTTTTCGAATTTCTGCCGCGCGCGCGCTCGCGCGTGGCCGACCGCCTGCGTCGCGCGCTGCAACCCGCCCCCACTCCCTGTGCGCGTGCTTCCAAAACACGGAGCCAGAGCTCGCCCTCCCCCTTCTCTCCCTCCCCAAAACGGCCCCTTTCCCCCTTCTTTTTCTCTTTTTCCCAACCTCAGCCACCGCACCTCCACTGCCGCCGCTTGGCCGCTAGCTCCGAGCACGACCGCCAGCTGAGCTCCCTTGACCACCTAAGTCGGTTTCCTCCCCCAAAACCGACTTCCCGCGCCTATAAAACCCAAATCGAGTCCCTCCCTTTCCTCCTCGTTTCCTTGCCCAACCTCCGCCGGACCATCTCTGCCGCTCGTCGTCGTCACCTTCCCCGCCGTTGCGCGTGCCGGGAAGCCGGCGTGCGCGCGGAGCCGA